AATGCAACCCTCCTCCAGCTGGCTTTGAATGCTAATATTTTCTTTGAGTTTAATCTGTTTACTGTGACATTACTGTTAATGGTTTCTTCATCAATTCTGCTTTCCCACCAGCGTTAAGGATGGAGTTTCCAGATGAGCAATCCTAGCTGTCAGCCACTTGTTGCTTATCCATGGCCACAGGCTACCAAGTGAGCCTTGTACCTGGCCACACCATCAGTCCGGTGGCAAGTGTGCCCTGGGCTCACCATCTCACATTTTGAAACCCTTTAAAACTCTTTTAATGGATGCTTTTAATGCAGCCACCACACTTGCCTAATGGCCTCTGGAAAATGAAGAGACTTTTGTTATGTTGTTAAGCAGCATTTGGCTAATGTTATGGGCTCCTGGCCTCCAGGTTCCTCTGCTCATGTTTTCTTCTTATTTCTCTGAAACCTTTAAGTCAGGGCAAGCTGAGGCTGCTCCTATTGGCAAAAACTAGCAAAAACTTGTCCTCTTTCGAGTTCAGCTGTTTCCTTTCTGCAGGCAATTGCTCTGTGCCCTCCTGGCAGCAGGACCTTGGGGCACGTTGGTCCCATGCAGGACAGGACAATGCATTTTGTTCCTCCCTTTCATGGCAAGGCTGAAAACACACAAAGAAGAACAGGCATCTGTGGTCTAAGCTGACAGCCTGAGAGGACCTTTGCTAGTGGAAAAGCCCAGGGAAGAGCAAAGAAGGCTCCTGGCAAAAGTCAGCAAGGGACTCTCTCTTCAGATGCAAGAGAAGCAAAGAAATTATAAGTAATGTGCTGAAGTACGCAGATAAAGTTACCTGAGTTGTTTTGACCATAAAGCCCAGGACAGTAAAGGCTCTTAACCTCTATTAATCAGTGAGAAGCTGGAAGAGGCTGCACAATGATCTCAGCTGCTGAAGCTGCTGCGCCCTTTTGCTCCCTTTAATTTAATTGTATTAGTCCTGCCCGCGTCCTTTGTTCTTCCGCCCCACTCAGGAAATCTGCTGCTGGTTTTGGCAGGGCTCGCTCTGGCTCCACATGGCTGGTTTGCGGACAGCCAGGAGGGACGAGAGGGAGGGCAGGAAGGGGAAGAGGATGCGAAAAGGTCCCGCGGGAGCAACCTGCTTAATGTGCCTCATTTGTCTTAATAGTGCCACCGCGTCCCTTCCTGGTGAAACTTCCTCCTGATAAGCCAAACAGGCAAAATTGAATGCAGAAGGACTCCCACTGATTTCAGCAGAGATGAGATTTCATGCTTAAATCTTAAAAAAAAAAAAAAAAAGGCGAGTGCCCGTGAGCCAAGTCTTGCTCAGCAGGAGCTGCCAACCCAGCGATCGTTTCTACCCCCAGCCTTCAGCTACCCTGAGGGGTCGGGGTGTCTTGCCTTTAGCTTAGCTGTTCTGGTTTGTACCACTTGTTCCTCATCAGACCGGTAAGAAATAAAAGCAACAGCTTGGCCCTGGGTCCTCCGCTTGCTTAGCATGCAGAAAAGGGTCCAGCAAGCACAGCAGATGGATTATCAATGCTAACCCCCAGCTGTTTTCTCTGCTGGTGGCAATAGCATCACCGTACCCCTTGCCAAAGAGCTGTTCCTCAGGGCTGTCATGGGGTGTAAACCCTCCCCTGCCATCCTTCTGCCTGCTGGACTCCTCCAAGCTGCCCCTGCTCCCTTCCCACCCACCTCCACAGGGCTGCAGCTCTCCTCCCAGCAGCATCCAAGGGCACGGGTAGAGTTTTCCCTGGTGCCGGTGACATGGAGCAGCTCTAGCTGAGGAACCAGCAGCATCATTGCAACTTCACCAGTTTCCCCAGCAAATGCGGTGGCCTCTGGTCTCCTGTTCGGCATCATTGCAAGAATACTGTCAGCTCAACCTGGTGGTGTTCATCTTCTCTGCTGCCAGAAATGATTCAGCACATGCATACTGCTTTTAGCACTTGTGTCCCTTTACATGACAGTGTAAATATTTGTGTGCCTCCATATAAGAGGAAAAGACATTGTCTACAGTCCCTCACCTACCCAAGCCCCAAAGCAAACCTCATGGGGAGTTCAGAGGTAATGATGTGTCAGGGCTTCAGGAAAGCTGCCCTGCACTGCTGCTTTGTAAAACGGTTGCCTTTCACTGTAGGAGTGGGAGGATGTGTCCCGCTGATGCCATACCAGAGGGGTGGCGCAGGAGGTGTCATCGTGTGTAGTTCATGGGTTGTAACAGAAACATCAGAAAAAAAAAGAAATGAAGATACATCAGAAAAAAAATTAATGACCTGCTGTGTTGCTATGGCATTTTTTTATGACCCTTGGGTTTACTTCATCTCTCTTAAACAAACAAATGTGAGAGGTGGTTTCCTGGACATGGATACGTTATCTCCAATTCCAGAGCTCGTCCCTGCCATGTAGGACAAGATAGTGGAGCAGCTAACCCAAGGGTGTACCTTCATCACCTTTCCATCAACAAATGATAATATGTGGAAAAAGATGAAGCGCTTACAGAAAGCTGTGGCTAAGAAAAGGGATTTTCAGGTGATTTTGAATGCTTCAGGCTTGTCTGGGAAACACGATTTTGAGATCTGTATTTTACTGGATTTCTCTGACTTCAGAGTCCAGCCGTACAAAATGCCACGAATCCGTTACAGCAAGCCCAGGTTTTCCCAAATTAAAGTGTCAAGGTTCTCCTCTCCCTTTCGCAGCAATGAATTATCAGCCGTATGCTTTCAGTGAAGTAGTACATCATTTGCTTACTAGTTTTATAGGAGGATCCTTCCTTTATTTCTTGCTGTAATTCTTCTTGGATCTGAAGAGTAAAACATATGTATGTTGGCATGTGGGAATCTGAAAAACCTCAGGAAAAGATAGGACTGGAAAGGAAGTTTTTCTGTACAAAGAAAATTTTTGTGATGTGTTTTTTCCATATCAGAATGAAAGCTTGAAATACAGAAATCCCCAAAAAGCATTAAACCGGCTGCAGCTACTATTTTGGTTATTTTATCCTTTCTATTTTGTTAGTAAATTTGCTTTATGTTGCAATGCAAAGTTGAAGTTCCAGATTTCTTGGATAAAAATGTGGGTCCACAAATTTGATTTCAATAGATTGGGAACTGTTTGGCAGATAATTTTAAATCAGAGTGGCAATCTGCTGCACTAAAAATAAAAAATAACTATCCAGTAAATGACTAATTTTGTGGTCCAGGGGAATTAGCAGAACAGCTTGGTGGATGGAAGGCAGCAGGTATAAATTACTGCACTAAGTCCATTTGCAGGAAGATATTATCTGACTTTGTTATTATTAATAATAATTAATGAGAATTAAAATATTCAGCTGGGATTTTTGCCACTGCAATTAGCGGGAATACGTGTGTGTATATGTGTGTGTGTATACATATATATGTATTCTCTCTTTGATGCTTTTCTCGGTTGTTTGCATCTCAATCCTTGACTGGCTTGCTCTGGGACTTTAATAATACTCTAGAAATTATCCAGACCGCACCTTTGTCTAGCATGGAGGAAACTTGAGGCTTTTACAATTAGTGCTGCTGGTTATTGCACAAAAAACATACGCCATGGTCTGACAAGGAAAGCAGCAGTAAAAAGTCAGGCAATAAGCAGTCTTTTATCAGCAGGCTCACAGGGATCATTGGTTGGCGGCTCGCAGCTCGCCCTTGCATCCTGATTTGTAGCACAGGTTGCTGGGGTTGCAGGGATGGCGCAGTCACCTCTGAGTCTGCATGGATTCGCATGGCTCCAAAGGCTTCTCTGGTGAAATCTAGGCATTGTTTTCTGAAGTCCAAGGTGCTTTAATTTTGATACCCCAAAGAGACCATGATGCTCTTGTCTTGTGCCTTCCGTGATGCCAGCCTTTCATGTTTCTGCTGGGCATTCCCACCCCAAACCCGCGTCCTGCAGTAGGTTTTAAGCATATGTTTTATGAAACTCTGTGACTAGCAGGGTGCCCATGGTGGGGAAGACTTTTAATGAGCTGGTTTAGTGGATAATTGGTCTCACTGTTAAAGACAAAACAAGCTTCTCCCTTTGTTTTCAGCTTGACTCTCCTCAGTTTCAGTCTTCCAGCCCTGGACTTTGCTCCATCTGTGTTTGGCAGAGTTAAAGTCCTTCAGAGTCTGAAATGTTCCCACATGCCCTTAAAGCCTAGGAGGAGTCATTTCCTAATCTTCTCTTTTAAGATTGAGGACTTATTATTGACTCTATTGACTGTTATGTGGTTTGTGTTTGGGTTTTTTAGATAAGTTGTAATTGTTCCTTTTTATCATTGTAAAAATACTGTTAATAATTGCTGTTCACTGGGTCTACACCTAAGGATGTGGCCCCACTTCTGTTAGAGATCCAATGTCTGGGGCTCTGATGGCCATTTGGTTTCTGATGGGTGCTGATTTGGTTTTGGGCAGCTTTGGAGAAGAGTAGGTGCATCAATCAAAGTGCTGTTTACTCGCCTCCTCAGAAGGCTTTGTAAATTGTGTTTATTATTTTTAGCAGCTCCTTTTCAAGTGGCATTGTATCTACGGCAGTTTCAGTTCTGGTTGTAGGCTGGGCTGTATTCTACCATCCCTAATCATCTTGAGTACTTTGTTCACTTTCCTTAACTTCATTTGATTTTGCTGAGAAATTTCAAGGAGTGAGATGATACTTAGATGAATGAAACTGGGGGATTAGATGGATCGTAACAAGCAGTTGCTGTGTTTTCTGTGGGAAGACTTCTAAGCTTCATTAAACCAAGAAGGGCTCTTTTCCCCTGACACGGATTTAAAAGCATTGTATTATACCCTGTTATTAATACAAACAATAAACTATCTTGATGGCAATAGACATCTTTTGGTGAAATTTCAAACCGTAATCATATCCAAAGCCCCCATGAAAGAATGTGAGCTCTTTTAGAGCCTTATGTACTGCGACTTCAAGGGGACTGTTCCTCATCCAAGTGCCCAAGCCGTGGCAGGCCAGAGCTATAAATGTCTTGTTTATGCTATTTATCCACTTACCTGTATTTTTTCTGTTTGCAGCATTTTTGTTCCTATATATGTTGGGCTGGTGGGAAATCTCATAAATACCATGATAGCAATGGTTTGGATCCCTTTGCAGGCTAAACCAAAGTCAGACGATCGTGTGACGGAGCACAGTAAGTATTTAGTGTTTCTGATAAATAGCACATGAATACGGTCAGGGGACTGACATGATGTAAGGACTGTGCTAAAGGACTTGGTGTTGCATTTAAGGGCCAAAAGGTGCTAACTTTGAAATGCGGACACTTTAATGCTTAAGTTGTGCTTGTGGAATAATATTATTCCCTACCTGCTGACCACTCTGCCATGCAGAATTGCAGGCTTCCAGCCCAGTGCTTGCCACACATCTCAGAAAATGTGAATGTGGGCCCCTTGCTGGGGGTTAGTTTGGCCCGGCATGGGAGGCAGTCCTGCGGTCTCACAGGGGTCCTCTGCATGCAGACCCAGCACCAGCTCCCAACCTCCTGCTGTCAGCAGAAAGCTGGTGCTGCAGAGACTCAACTTTTTGGAAAGGTGATGGTGAACCTGAGCAGGCAGTCTCAGAGTTTCTTGCTTCCTGCCTCTAACCTGTATAAATAGAGTATTAATCAATATGTCATCTTCTGTAGGCACATCACAGTCTGGCAGCGTGTTTAGCATCAGAGAAATCCTACACCTGATGAAGTTTCCGGGAGTAATGGAAGTTTTCATAGTCAAGGTCTTTGCTGGACTTCCCGTAGGTAAATCTCACCTAATACCCATGATTGCTGATGTATTTAAAATAAGATGACATACATTGTGGACCAGGCTTGTCTCAAATTACTGAAAGTACGTTGCATTTGATCATGGAGAAATGAGGATTCAGCTCCTAACTCATGCTGGATGCTTTCAAATGCTCTCAGCTATGTAGGGTCAAAAACCTGGGACTTAATGTAAAACAGACGACTTGCCACAGGCTGCTTCTGCGACTTTTGGCAAATCACTTAACCTCTTTACCACATCCTCCTGGCTGTAAATGGTTTTTTCCTCTTGTCTGTCATTTCTATTTAGGCTGTAACCTCTTCAGAGCAGAGGGAAATCATTTGTACTCTGCCAGAAACACTGAGGTCCTTCCTGATTTTACTTAATGATTTTAAGGGGTATGTGTACCCTAACCTTTTTCCCAACAACTAAAAACTATTGCTGGACAAGAGGTTGTGGCTGCTTTAACTGTCAGCTGCATGCAGGGGAACCACAGCATATTTCTTCCATTGCACATTGATGGTGGTGCTTGTTCCTCTCTTCTTTATATAATCTGCTTGGTTTTTTGTGTCATGGTAGGAACCTGCTGCTACCTCAAACCAATCCCAAACCTGCCTGTTTCCCTGCTGCCTTTGAGTCAGTTGCTGTCCTGGCATAGTCCATGATTTGCCTGGTTATACGTATCCTTGGTCACAATTTAATAATCTTTAATTTTGCCTACCCTCTAGCTTCTTTCCCCTGACTTGTCTAGCGACAAGCCAGCATGTCAGCCTTGTTAGTGGCGGTGTAAGGAAAGGGTGATGTTGTCTGCCCTTCCACAAAGAGAGCCTTCATGGCTCTTTTCCCAGTCAAACCTAAAAGCGCAGTTTCTCTTGATTACAGTTTCAAGGATTGAACTTCATACACATCAAAACATGTGCACACCATGCATTTGAACAAACTAAGGCAATTCCCTTCTGAACAAGGATCCTAAGAGAGGTTTTAAGGTACCTTAACTTTTAGACTTTGCATCTTTTTCTACCTCATCTGTGTCTGAAGAAGCCCTTGAAGTTTAAATAACATGAAACATAATTTACAAATTAAATTCTAATTTGTAAACTGTAAATTTAGTTTACAAATAAAAGTAGGTTTGGCTGTGGAGAGTGTCTGAATCAGAAAGGGATGGCATTTCTGGGCTTGGCCAGATTCATCTGTTATTCCTTGCTAAGGCTCTTGGGGAACAAGTCCGACTGGAGCTGTAGAATAGCATGCAGGGAAGTAAAGGACTTCTGATTTTTTTTTTCTTATTTTCTTTTTGTGTGTTGTTGGCATTGGCTGAGATCAGTAATGCCTGTTGGTCCTGCCACCACCACTGGAGACAGGATAGAGTCTTGATGGACTGGTGGATTGCCCTAATAGTGCACTTTTTAGGTTCTTCTGAAACTAAACTTTTAAAATTGTATTTTTTAAAGTGTTTATCAAATGATAACGTTTCACTGAAAGAGATAGTCAAGTGATGTTTTAAGAGGGTTTTCTTTGCTGAGACTGACTCACTTCTCAGCTTAAAGTAGCATTCATTTCTCTGTTTAAAAATGCCATCCTGAGACCGCATCCATATGCAATCTGCATGGTCATTTCCTGTGCGTTCTCCTTTTTCCAAAGGCTGGGTGAGATGCACTTTGTTTTAGTCATCCCTGCTGAAATGCAAATTCTTCCCTATTGCAGAAGATGTTCTTCTTTTACCGTTGCACAGCAAGAATGTGCACCCAACCAAAATAAACATCTCCTGCCCAAAACTGCAAGGGAACTTCTAGGCGAAGAGGATGGAGACAGTGAAGCTGAGAGTTAAGGCAGGACATGGGCTGATAGTCTGTCACTGAAATGGCTGGGAGTATTTCAGTGACAGTAGGAAGGGATTCATCTGAGGCACTCCTGCTACAAGTATAGTGCTTGCACTACAGTGAGGAGTGATCAAAATCCTAGTGACTTCTGTTTGCAGGTCTCTTCAGGTTACTGACCATACAATGGCAGCTGAAAGGGGATTTGGCCATCACCTACTTCGCTGCAGCTCACAGCTGGAGGCTGAGCTCCTCATGAGCTCATTTACCTTTCATCTCCCAGCTGCAACTGTGTGGTTAATTAGATCACCCAAATTACAGACCGTTCTCTATTTACTTTGTAAACAAGTTTGTGATATACACAGAAGAAAATCTTCTGTTCCTTATGGATCTCATTGTTGTCTAAAATTAGCTTGTTTGAGACTGAAAGAGCCTCCCCAGGAGGGCTGCAGGGCCGGGAACCTCCTCCCTGTATTGCATAAAAGCAGAAACACCGGCTCTGTGCCGCTTGCAGGAGGGTAGCTGCCAAGGGATGGATGGGCAGCAGACCGCTCCAGCACGGCCAAATTACATCCTCAGCTGACCTGGGAAAAGCAAGTCTCATTGCATTGCGGTAGATGAGAGACAGAAAAGAAAACACGAGGATGAAAACGTCAAACATACCTCTCACTGACCAGAAATCACCGTGAAAATACTGATAAATAGCTGCTTGTATGAATCTTTGGCTGCCTAATCCCTTTGGAAAACCTGGTTTTAGCACAATCGCTTTAGCACCCGCATCCCATTTTTAAAGGGACTTTCTGTCACACGCAGAGCAGGATTTTGCAGTGGGCCCTGGGGCTCTGCATCCCATTGCGTTTGCAATCCAGCGTAGGAGGGCTGAGACGGGCTCCCAGAGGTGGTGCTCGCCTTTTCACACCGGTTCTCAGTAAGGATTGCTAAGCTGGCCCTCCCAAAGCCACAGGGTGCTTTTAGAAATGTCATGGGGTTTTTTTTAATAGTTTGCACTCCTGTGCCTTCTTGGTGCTTTTCCTCATCTTTATCGCATCTTGCAAACCATTTACCTGCCTTCTGCTGCATAACCCTAGTTACTCATCCCTCTAGTGCCAGGTTTTCTAAGGCGTTCACCCCTTACTTAGACCCCCCACCAAAAAAGGTGAGGTTTTTGAGGATATTTTTTGCTATTTTCCATTTTTTTCCTCTTGAAAACCTGAGCTCCACAGCGTGGATTGAAGCTTATTCCAGCAGATTCTGTGTGGGGATTTGGTGTCCCCGTAAAAGCCATCCCCAGGGGTACGTTACTCATTTAGGTGCACTCAGCCGACCTGCAGCCTACCCAGGTGGGACCTGCTGAGGTCTTTGTAAGTAATGCTCATGCATGTTCAGATGAGCAGAAAATCTTTTGAGTTCAATCTAGGGCTCACCCTGTGGGTTTCAGCAAGAAATGCGTTGCCAGTGGGAGAGACTCCCTTAGTTGCTGAAAGTGGAGGGAGCAGGGTGGGGGTCTCCCTTGTCCAGGTAGCTTTAAGTGACCACACAGGCAGAGGGAGATGACACCCATCTAAAGAAGAGACCTTTGCATCTCCAGGGGATCCATGCAATGTGTACTGCTAATTAAAAAGCACAGCCTATCCCCCTGCTCTAAAAGAAATCAGCTCATTTGGAGGAGAAAGATCCAAATCTGCCTTAATTTGGTGAGGGACTTCAAAGGGGAGAGGAGCTGTAGAAGCTGGTGCATGGTACCAGGAAGAAGCGTCAGGTATGTAGGAACGTCGAACCCATCCTACGTGGTACCTGCAGCAGGCTAGCAGGATGAAGGGCAAGCACCCACTTCGATCTAATCTTCCTGCAAGTGAAACAAAGTGCGGTTTTTCTTTCATTTCTTCACGTGTGCCTTTTATAAACATGTGCAACTGTTGCCTGGTTTGGATGTTGTGAGTAAATACTGTTATTTGCATGTTACCTTAAGCTGGCTTGAGCTAAGAGCGATTTCAAAGTAACTGGATAACGATGGGGTGCTCTCCGCGGAGGGGTGTAGTGAAGCCATAAATCTTCACGAGCCCCAGCTCCCCGGCACTTTCTCCAAATATCCGGGGAGTAGCAGTGGGGCACCCTTCCTGCCCCCCATCCCTCTCCTCCAACACCATGGAGCCAGCTGGGGTGCAGCTGTCCCCATTAAAGGGGGAAGAGGTGTCTCCGGTGGGGTTCGGAAAGGCTTTGTGGCAAGTCCTGGAGTGGGAGGGCAGTGGTCCCTCCAGGCAAAGGCTTGGGGTGCTTGGAGGGAGGTCCTTGTTGCTGCAGCAGCTCCTCTGGCAGCAGCCATCGGGCTGCTGGATGCAGTGGAGTTGCGCTGGTTTGTTAGGGTGCGAGTCCTCCACAGCATTTTAGTCAGCAATTTGGGATTGCTGTCCTCACACTTCCAGGAAATGCCAGCAAATCCTTCCCATGCCGCGGGGTCAGTGACTCACTTTTCCAGGCCACAAGCTGTCTTCTCAGTCCTCACACGTTGCCTCCTGGGCTCCCTATTTACCCAGTCTTCATACCTCGGAGGATCCTATGAGGAAGGGCAGGACCCCTAAAGGCCGTCTGCTCTCTTCTCTCCCCAGCAGGAACAGTGTCCTCTGATGGGCATGTTGAGGGGATGTTCACGTGCAGAGAGCCCCAGTTTCCTACTGTCTCTCTCTGTCTGAGGTGCACAAGACATTAGGGGAGGCAGCAGCCTCCTACCCCATACCAGCTCTTTGAGAGCAATGTTTTGTCATAATATTTTTAATTTGATGGCTCTTCGTGTACGATGGGAGCATGTGTATGCATGTCTGTATTTGTGTATGTTTGGCACTGGGGGAAATGCACGCTATTGTATTTTCATGTGAGATTAAGTGAGTGGGCATTTTCCATTATGCTTTCCAGAAATTGCCTTAATTGAAAAGCAGACCCAGCCTGTGCTGTTTCTGCCCATACTTTCCTGACTGCTTGTGTTGACACCACTATTGGTCCAGGAGAGCAAGAGATTCCACGTGCCACCGACGTCACTGCCGAGGTGTGCAGTGAAACGCTGTATTTAGGCTGATGTTACCCGGTTGTTTCCCAGGCAGTGTTCCCCATGGTGAAAATCTAAAGTTAGGCAAAAGGGACGAGGAGTCCAATCAGATTATTTTTATGGTTGCAGTCTTGTCTGAACAAATGTTTTCTCGCTGCCTTAATGGTTAGTTTGGCTTCAGTGATAAAAATATTTACCAGTTTATAATAAACAGCTGAATCTACAGCCTACATAGTCACATTATTTTCAAGATGAAAGTAAGGGGGATAAAAAAGTTAGCATTTAAAGATTAAATTACTACACTGACTTTGAATAGGATTCTGCTCATGTTTATATCCAGTCCCGATAACCTTAGGGAGAGCTACTGACTCATACTGGAGATGACTGGGAGCAGGGTCTTGGCCACTATATGCAGTGCAAGTATATTGATGTATGCTTTTCATTAACCCTCCCTCTAGGTTTGTTCCTGATTATGTTTTCCATCATCTCTATGGATTTCTTTGGGTTGGAAGCAGTGGAGTCTGGATACCTGATGTCATATTTTGGTGTCCTTCAAATGGTAAGTGAAGTGGAAGTCCCTCTCTTGCCACACTGCTATCTAATTTGCTACCTTTTTGACACATGCTCTCCCAAATGCGGGCATAATATTGATGAGCAAATCCTACCTCTGTGATGTGCCCCTTGGCTTCAAAAAATAGAAGTGTCTCCAAATTTATTCTGTTCCTTCGCATGGGAAGAAATCAGAGCAAGGAGTGTCCTGAAAGCTGTCGTCCCTTTGTCCCTCTTTGCAGATCTTTAAGCTGTGGAGCTAAAATTTCCTTGGACTGACATGTTGTCCTGGTTTTTGTAACAAAACTTGCATTGAAGCTAAAGTGCGTTGACTAAGATTTTCACTGGTGCAGGTTAGCTGATTTACATTTACTTAGTAGCACCCTGTAAATTTATGTAAGTAAATGGTCTTACTGGCATTTTCACAGATGCCTTCAGTGTCGAGGAAGGACTCATTTCTGCTGCATGGAAACAAGCACAGCAAGCTTGTAATTTAAGAAAAAAAAATTAAAGATGGGTGATGGTACATGATTAGGAGACTTGCAAAATGGGTAAAAAAGAGAAGTCAGCTGAAGTAGGCAGTAGCAGGGCCAAAAAAATAACATGCTGTATTATAGTAGAATTTTCCTTTTGGAGGAAGAGGCTAATAATTTTGCAGAAAGAGCAACAGATGGTTATAAGCAAGCCTCAAGGTAGGAATGCAAGTTAAGCAATATCCTGAAGGAGGGTGGTCTTGTTATTAAATCCACCTTCATTTCCTGGGCATTGCTGCAGAGTTCCTGTGGGATCTGGAGGAGCTTCTCATCTGGGAAATGGCAGCTTTAGTTCCTTCCCTCATGATTTGGATTTGGCATAGTGTTACCAGTTGCTTGGGCTCTGCCCTGGCCTCACCAAATCTGGGCACCTTGGACACTAGCTGACGAGCATGGCCATACATCAGCAAGTCTGCAGAGTAAACCAGCTGGAGCTGAGGAGCTGGTGCCTTTACCATGTCTGTTCTGGATGGGTGGCTTTGGACTAGCTGCCGCTCAGTCCCATAAGCTCAACATCTGCTACCAGCTGGATGTACCCTCCCATCCAGTCTCATCGGAAAGAAAACTGTTTACTGGTGAAACTGCTCCACAGCATGGAAACAACGTGACAAGTGGGGTGATCAGCAGCTGCTTTCCAGAGCGTGCTTCTGATCCAAACTCCACTGCTAGCAGAGGCTTTTCCTACGTTAGTCTTTGTATGCCCACTCCTAGACCAGGGTCTGCAGGAATCACTTAGGTTTTAGAGGGGCCGAGTCGCCCTCTTCTATCTTCTTCCCCCTTTGAATGTAGAGGGACTTCCCAACAGCTATGCTCTTAACTTAGACCTATCAGTTAAATCCTTGTTATATATGTTTACACTGAAATAAAATTTGGGGTTGCACCATGGATATGGTGTGCTTGTTTCGATCTGGCTAACGTAGGCGGCAGTAGCACAGAAGGTAAAAACAGCACTTGTGCAGCCGGGGCAGGAATGGCTTCATGTTGCCAGATAGATCTTGGATGCTGCTGTTAGGTCCAGGCTGTCTGTCTTCAGGACACTGCTGTTAAGTCTGGGATATCTGTCTGTCTTCACTATTGTTTCCCAGATTAGTTTGGTTGAAACTACTGTAGATAAGGTTACCTGTGCTGCTGTGCTGGTGCACCCTATGTATAGATACAGCCCTGGAAGATATGGGAATTATCGCATTCACTTTGCTTCCTGACGAATAATCAGATGTCAGTGCTAACCAGGGACCTGCCCTTTCCCATAGTTACAGGGTTTCATCCCACAGAGGCCAGTCATATCTATTACCATGCTCTCATCCAGCAGTGGCCTACAGGCTCAGGTGCAGCATCAGTTTTGCTGGGGAGAATTTGCCTCAGGACATTTGGCACAGAAACTAGCTTTTGTCAGCCAGGCAGTTTCTTTCAGCTATCCATGCAGTTTCTGTCCATGTTGCTATGCATACGCTACAGCAGATGACTGTGGACATCAGAAATATAGGAGTGAAGCGGTCATAGGGTACAAACTTCTCTTCTTCATGATGCCACATCGGGGTTTGCTGTCAGAACACCAAAAAGGAAAGGGGAAACAAATGCTTTATTTTTTAAAAAAGCTCAGGATACCTGATTCCTGGTGGCAGCAAAGCCATCTTGCCCAAGAGCTTGCAAAGCACTGCTTTCTGCTTTGTTGTTTGTTCTTTCTACTTTATCACTGGCAGTTCCAAGCTCTGCTCTAGTTTATGCAGGACCAGATCCTTAGCTGGTCCAAATAATATTCTCACCATCTGGCTCTTAAATTCTTGTAAAGCATTAAAATTTGTGTCTTTACTTTCAAATCAAGTCTCTGGCTGGAACTGCCCAAAGGTGTCTCTTGCAGATAGTGACTGGATTAATGTTCTATGGCTTCTTGCTGTTGGGTTTCCTCCAGTGGAAGATGTATTCAGGGAATGCAATGTGTACCGGCTCTGTCCTGCCGAGCCCCAGAGTTGTTTGTGTGCCTTCATCTTGTCTCAGCTGGCATTTCAGAGGCATTTGTTTCTGTTGTACAATGGATTGATACTGCTGGAGATCATAGATATAAATGCAGATTAAGGTGCAAACAAATTCCACCAGTCTGGATGGGTGAATGGTGATTAATATCTGCTGACTGGCTTCCCCACTTCACTTAGTAAATTATAGCTTTATTCATAAGGAATATAATGTCCTTTTCAATGAATTTCATCAACAAGATCCTCAGCTTTGATTTCTCATTCCTTAGTTTGCCTTTCCATAAAATATTGCAGGGGTTTTCCCATTCTCTTGGGCTTGCTCTGAGCCCTCCTGTCAGAGGAAACATCCCCCTCCTGTTTGCATTCCTCCCTGGACCTGAAAATGGGTCATGTTTAAGGGCTTTTATAGATGGGAGCAGACGTCACAGAAATGAAGGGCCATGTTGTGTTTACTTTAAACCTCCCTGTAGACATTGAACACAGTGCCTGGGTGGCTGCACGGCACGGCTGGCTAATACACCCAGCGCCGTGTCCCAGGGTCTCACCTGCTCCCAGCACACATTGCATGCACTGAGCGGCTTCAGAGGCACACCAGGAATGGCACAGCGAGCAAGGCTTAGCTGAGCCCTTTACTCAGCTCTTCCCCAAAAGCCTTGCACCGAGAAAAGCATTTCCCAGTCTGTCAATTCCTGCCAACTTTTAGTAGTATTATTGCTTTGTGTTATTGTAGTTTCTATTTTTTTAATGAGATCATCTAAAGACAAACATCTTCCTCTAGCACAGAAGGTGATGTTGCAGCCTCCTTTCCCAGCCCGATCAGTAATCCCAGGATGACTCAAATAACGATGGTCTCTTCCCGCTTTCTGCTCCTGCCCCAAGGATATTATGCTCCAATTGCTTAACCTGAATTTTCAGCTTCTCAGCCTCATTTAACCTACTGTGGTGAGAAGCGGCCAATGCAGTGTAAACATCTCTGTTTCTCACTGTTTCTCCCATTCAAGCCAGCTGCAGGGCACCTAGAGAGGAGATTTTGAATAGCTTTGAGTCAGTCCACCTAATTTTCAGTAGGCAACTGAAATATTTTGTCGTCAATATCTCAAACACCTCTTTGCACGGGTAGATGAGCACAGAAACACTGATCCCACAGGACGTGAGGCGTTTGCCACTTTTGCAGATGGAGGATGTTAGTGAGCAGCCCAGCTAATTCAGGCAGCCCTCCTGAGGGATCCCATCTGGAACTCCTCAGCCTCACCTCATTGGGCTTGGTCCCATCTTGTCACTTCATGACCACGCAGAACCCCAACAAATGGGGGGGTTGCCCTGTGCCCAGCCTGAGAGGATCCCTGTGGGTTTGGAAGGCAGGTTTTTGGAGCCCAGGAGCCTCATGGGCTTTGGCTGTCTGCTCCCCAGAGCACCTCTCTTGCTTGTTCCCTTGCTGTTCATCAGCTCTGTTCACATGGGAACGGTTTACATCACTTGCCAGCAATGAAGTGGCTCAGCTGGTGCTGGTGGTGGGTTATGTCCTCCCAAAGTTGTGCATGTAGCACCAATGACCACCGCTCATGGCATGGGGTATCCTCAGCACCCTTCGCCAAGTTGGCTGCCCACAGCATGGTCACCCTTCACCCCAGTGCTGGTGGTACATCTCCTTGCTACTTGCTACTTGTACCCCTGCTTGGAGGGACGTAGGTTGCCTTGCTGCTGCTCCTGGCCTGTCTCATGGAGACCTGAGTGGCCCAAAGACAGACATCTGCTGATGTATTGTTGTAAAAGTTCCCGTGGGAGTACCTGTCCACAGGCAATGGGGGCTTCCCAGCTCTCTGGATGAAGCACTGGCCCAGGAGCTGGTGCCAATTTACTGTTTGTGGTTAGGCAAAGAGCATCGCCTAATAGCAGAGGATGTTGGAAAATGTGGGGCAGGCTGAAGCGCAGTGAGGGTGGGAAGGGGGCTCAATTCTGGGTTGGGACAGAGCCAAAGGAGGTCAGAGAAGGGTGTGCGGGAAGGCGGTGTCATAGCACTGGGACAAAGAGCTGTCTGATGTGGAAACAAAGGCGTTGCTTAGAAAATGAAATATGACCGAGGCTGGAGTGGGCTGATGGTGAAGTGAAAATAGCAAGTGGGGAGTGATTTGAGCAATCCAGGGCTCTGCAGTGATACTTAAAGCACCCTGATAGCATGGGGCTGTCTGATGAGCTGGGACTGTGCCAGCGTAAGTCAAGGAGGCGGAGTCAGCTGGGAGATAACAAAATGAGGAGGGGAAGGCAGACAGCAGGAGGGGTACCTCTGCGCCAGGTGTCTTGCATTTCAGAGATTTCCTTGCTCATGATATGCTTGAAGCATTTTTATCTGATTGCCAGTGGATCTCCAGGCAAGAAGTGTGAGAGCCCATTGGGGATGCAATCCCTCTGTCCTCTGGGGCTAAGCTTCCAGAGTCCTCTCATCTCAGAAGTCATGCGAACTAAATTTCCCTCAGAGTGGATGCCTGGGAGTGTGAGATGCCATTCAATCTCCCTCCAGAGAATAATTAATTTCATAATAATTTAAAAGAATTTAACTTTGCCTAATAGCCAGAAGCGGGCCTAGACTCTGGCTTTTTTTTGCAGTTGCGAGCACAATAGCATGGAGAACTTCCAGACATAGTCTCTAGCTTGGAAAATGCTGCCGGAGGATTAGGCAAGTGAAATACCTGGAGTCCCTTGTTGATATCTAAAGTCACATCTTGTGCTTAGATTTCAAACCACGGGAGGGTGTGGGGGAAGCTTTCCTTTAAGAACTTTTTCTCAAAAAAAACCCAAAGCAAAATGCACCAAACAAAAACTCTGGGTGGGACAAAGGGGTAGATATTTATTACCCTGAGGATCAAAAAATCATAAGACATCTGTTCTATTTACTGTGTTTAAGTTCGTATTGTTGTACAAGCTCCACCTCTAGCTGTGCAGCTACTGGAGGGACAAGTTGGTACGGAGTGATCCTGAAAAGATGAGAGAGATTCCTGGAGAGATTTACATTGCATATCATCTTATCACCAGTCTGTCCCTCTTGCTTTTTTTTTTTTTTTTTTCCCCTGCACAGCAAAAGAGATGATTAAAGAGACAGGGATTTAATTACAGCCAGGTATGCCTAGGGGGAAAACCCACTTGGTGAAAGGACCTTGCAACAACAAACAGAAAGTTCTCCAGTTTCCTGGCTTTGAAGGATTTAAATCTGTGGAGGGGGGCAGGCTGGAGGGGGAAAGAAAGCAATTAGGCTGGAGTTTGCAAAACATACGGTCCTCTTCCCCCTCTTCAGCAAAGTGCTGCCTTCAGCAGTTTGGTCCTCACCATCAGCTCTCCTTCCAGTCCCACTGCCCTCCTGCTCCTGTGCAAGACCTGAACTACTTCTCAAGCGCTTTCTGGCACGGCCGTGTCAGTAAACAACTACCTTTTCCCCCCACCCAAGGTTTTGCACCACCTTCAGCCCGTGCAGAAAAGCTTCATGATTTTTTTTTTGCTCCCTGCGGTCTGCCCCAGCCAGTGCCCACCTGCGCATCCCACCCCAGCCAGTACTGCGCTCGCCCTGGGAACTGCCAGACGGGCACAATTTCAAAGGCGAGAGATACGGGTACAGCATGTGGGAGGCTGCCTCTGATGTGAATCATGCTATCTGCGCTAGGGATGGGGCCCCACATCTTCTCTGCTAGGCTGTACCAGTGTATCTGGCCTGCTGCGCCTGCCTCTCCGACCTTCTCGCGTCTTTTCAGTTCCAGGCTGTTGGGTGAAAGGGAATTTATTTTGTTGCTGAGTTCTGTCAAACTTTCAATTGGTGCTGATGGAAGAATCTGTAGAAAGAGTCCTGTGTCCACTGAGCGTGGAGGACCAGCCGAGCACCTGCGTAACTCCTCGAGCCTCCACCGATGAGGTTAGCTACTTGCAGGTGCCAGTCCTGCTCAGCAACGGCTCCACACAGCAAAGCTAGTGCTTCACCATTCAAAAATCTTCCAAAAACTAGCACCTTAAACCTTCAAACAGCAACAATCTTTTCCATCCTGCAAGGGATTTCTCAAATTTGTTAACAATGAAATGGGCAGTTGGCTCTTCTGAGCAAACGGGAGCTGCTGTCTTCCCAGAAATCAAATACATTGATAGAGGTAAGGAGTATTTTTCTACGCGATCAGCTGAACTAGTGTAACGAATCCCCAGTTTGGCGAATCCAGCATGACAACAAGGAGAGATTTGGCTGTTCTTATGCATTTATTGGGAGACTTATTTGCCTTTAAAGAAGGAGGCGGGGAAGGAAAAAAAAAAAGAGTTGGTTTATCCTGTGACATGTGTACACAGCCACAGGCAGTGCCTGTTATTTCACTTGCAAACAATTTCCTCTCTCTTTTGTTTATTGATGACAGAAGGCATTCCAGCCAGGTACACTGGCTCTTCCCCGACTTCAAAGGAGGTCAGGTTACAAAGGCAAGTACCATCCAGGCAAAATGAAATGCAGGAGGGCAAGGCCCATCGCAGTCTATTTCAATGGGAGGTTGCATGCACAGGAAAAGCCCAGAATGTGCCAGTAGGAATAAAAATAAGGATAAATCCCATTGCTGCCTTTTTGGTGCCACCAGGGCTTATCCATGGGAGTGATGATGGCCAGATCATCCAGGATGCCCCCACTACCCCATGGCAATGGCAGCATACGTCCAAAACCTTACATGAGAGAGTGCACATGAACCACCTCTTGCTTCCTCCTTCCCAAATGAGCCTGTGCAGGCGGCTGCCACTTACGCAAACCAGGGGACTGCGCGCCCAGGGCAAATTGCAGGCTGGAAGTAATGGGTTTTCAGGTCTCAATTCGGACTGGAAGCAAGGCCGGAGCTCCTGGTGACTGGAAACATTATGCAGTGGCAAAATCAAGGCACTGGTGTTTGATAGTGTCCAAAGTTAAGATGATGGGCCTTGCCTGCCTGGGGCTCACAACTGTGCTGGGGAGGGAGTCCGGCAGCCCAGATAACTGGTGGGGAGGCTGCAGTCGGTATAACCCAAGGAAGGCTGCTCAGCCCCAAAGGAAAAGCAGGTGGCTTGGGCTGATGCTTGCCCTTGGAAAAAAGTCGGAGCACTGAGTTGGTTGATTCAGCAGTGGTGTTTTACCTCATGCTTGTATTGCTCCAGTCTGAGTGATGGGGAAGCCCACGCTGAATGCCAGGCTTGGCACAAGGACCATCCATCCCCCTGCCCTGTTCACTCTGGGGACAGCCCAGGTAGCCTCCAGTTTGCCTGCCTCCGTGTCCTGCCTGCTTTGCTGCAGCGGTGCTTGTTCCCTGCACTTAGGTGCTCACGCGTAGTGATGGAGACATTTTTGAGTGCGCTACTCCCACGGCCATCAGACCAGGTTGCTCTGAGACATGGCTGATGATCTACCCCAATGACTCAAGGAAGGGCAGGGACCAGGCTGCACCTGCACAGTGTATCCCGATTAAATATGCCATTCAAGTCTGGGCAAATTGAGAAACACTTCCTTTCCTCCCATGCCTCAGCAGAGTCGAACTGGGGTTCAGGTGATGCCACCACTGAGTCAAGCCATGCCCTGCGATGGGACTCAGCCCCCATCCCACGTGATTCAGCACAGCCCCGGCCCAGGCGAGCCGGTGGGAGGGACTGGGAAGTTGCAAAAAGTTAATGACGATTCTTCATCTTAGGAGCACTCAGCTTAATGAAGCATTACTCAGCGGCTTCTCCACCCACCCCTTTGGTAGGAGCCGCCGGGGCTGGTATCAGCCTCCTCTTGTGTCCACAGCAGGGCTTTCAGCCGGGATGACTCACGTCACCCCATGCATCGTCCGAGCCTCGCACCACAGCAGGTCTGCCAGTGTCCCTGAGGCCACTCGGGTCACCCCATGCATCGTCCCAGCCTCGCACCACAGCAGGTCTGCCAGTGTCCCTGAGGCCACTCGGGTCACCCCATGCATCGTCCCAGCCTCGCACCACTGCCAGTGTCCCTGAGGCCACTCGGTGGGTGACACGACCCGGGAGAGACACGTGGGGCCCATGCCACTGTAACACAGCAGCTGGGCACACGTGAGCCAAGCTCTCAAGACCTGCCTGAGGGTGTGGACAGGGACAAAAAGGAGGCAGAAAAACCGTTTACTGGGAACCAAAATGTCTGCTTGGTGCAATATGCTCTTGTGCTCTGAAGCAATGTGAAGAGTCGAATGTTGACGTTTTCCATTAAGTTGTAGCTTGTTGGAAATATATTCAGTTTGTGGCTGTTGTTCTTTATGCCAACTTTATTTTATTTTTACTCTATTGCTATTTACTTTTTGCTTTTATATTTTATTTTAAGAATTAAATTGCTTTCTCCGGACTGCTTGTCATAGATTAACATTTCCTTTCTTAATAATTTTCTTATTCATTGTGCACTCATTTCCTTTCAGCTGAGTTTGCGTTTCACCTGTAGGACTAACACAGCAAGGTTAAGAATGGCGTAGCATTGTTCCAGGTCCAAGCAGAGCACCGAGGTTTTCTCCAAGCTGGACTGCCATTGAAACAAAGCCATCGCACTAAACGAAGCATTTTGAACTGGAGCTCTTTCAAGTCAGAGGGGTTTTCACCTAGATCAAACAAACCCTTTCCAGGCAGGGAAAACTGAGTAGATTCCTATCTGTCCCTCCCCTAAAATGCAGTTGGCTGGGGTTTGTTTTCAAAGTGATGTCTTCCAGCCTCTGTCCTCATGTGTCCACTTGGGCCATCATCGCTTCAAGTATAGGAGATGCTGAACAGAGAAATAAAAGAGGGAATCTTTGCTCTGCAAAGTGCTGGAAAAGCCAAATACTTCCTGGGATCTAAATTTTTTTGCTCCTCCTTCCCCCCCCTCCCCCGGTTTTTATTTAAAATCTGTAAAACCCGTTCCCCGTCCCTCATGTCTGTGCATACTGGGTATTAGCATCGCCGTCGTACTTGTTTCCTGTCTAAAAATGAAGAACCACACAATTTGTATATTTATAGTTTAAAATAATGTAAGAGAAGGTACAGGAAAGGAGGCATTTTCCTCCTCTGCTTACAAATGTACGATTTTTCTTTGGAAGGACTTGCCAAGAATGAAGACCTTAGTATTAATTGTATTTCACAAAAACATCATGAGTTAGTTAGAAAAATTCATTTGTATCTACAAGCATCTTTAGAAAGTTTCAATCACCACTGGTGAGTAGGCAGTGATGGTAAACTCAGGCGTGCGCCCTGAGTAAAGATTTTCAGCTGATGGGATGGGATGGATCTATCCCTAGGATACAAAATGCTTGAAATAATGGACCATGTCTTCCAGTCGTTTACTGTGACAGTGAGGTCTCTTTTTCTCCAAAAAAAGCAAGGGAATAACCCATTTGCTGCTTTTCATTTGCTTGAAGCACTGTAGCTGTTCTCTTGAGTTTGTTTAAATTGTTAGACATTGGGCTTAATGGTGCTTGTGTGCTTCTTTCCCAGGTTGTCCAGGGTGTGGTTGTTGGAAAACTCACTAACCACTGCACGGAGAGGACCCTGCTCAGGCTCAGCATCTTCGTCTTCGCTGGCGTGGGCCTAGGCATGGTAAGGCTTGGCATGAAATCATCCATGGTGCCTTTTAATAACGCAGCGGCACAAGGTCCGTGAGACCTGGCTGCAATCTCTGTCCCTTGAAATGCCACCACTGGCTTTGCTGGGTGGTCTTCGGGGGGGAAACCAGCTGTCCTGGGCCTCTGTGCAAACAGAGCTGCCCTCAGCGTAAGCACTGCACCAAATACCGATAGCCATGTGAGTAATAGTTACGGGGATTAAAAAAAAATTGATCTTGCACAGAAACTCTTTAAGTCCCTCCTGAGTCACTGGATTTGCATAGAAATCCTGCCCTTGGTCTTGTCAGTGACTTCATTTCCTGAACTACCCAGAAAGTAAATTAAGATTATAGGGGGGAAAATCATCGTGGTTGTATGCTGCTGTGAGACAGCGGAGGTTGTGTGCTCTTATTCTGGGGCTTTATTTTTGCCTAATTTCCCCAAGCTGAGAGTATTTGGGGAAGGAGGTAGCAAGGCAATAATTTTGTTCCTCCATTTTGGGATGAGTGATGTTACCCATTGCCAGTTGTGTCTGCATGGGCGACAGTTGATGCCAATCTCAAATGGTAATTGGAAAACTGAGTTGACTTAGGCAGCTCTGCTGGTAATTGTGTTTGCTCAGATAAGCCATGCTAGGGGAACTGATAGATCTGCCCAGGTGATGGGGATGGAGGAAGGGTGTGCACTGATGGGCCCAAAGGACAGTTGAGCTGTGTCAGCCTTTCACTGTTCCCTTGTCCTGGTTTCGGCTGGGATAGAGTTAATTTTCT